GGGGGAGGATGATGAAGAACGACTCGTATTTGTAAAGTTTATCTTGCTCAGTGTTACAGTATGAGCTAACCCAATAAGAAGCCAGGTGCTGTTTCTCAGGAAAATGAAATCAGCAACGGCAGCCAATCCCAGCAGAGCTGAGGCGGGACGCTCCCCTGCTTTTCCTGCCTTGTCTTTGTTAGCAGCACTGCTCCTCTTTGATCGGAGGCCATTTTGTTGCTACCGCAGTGCTGTGTCGATACGCAATTATCCCGCCATACGAAAGCCAGAGCCGGCTAATCGGATTTGTTAATGAAAACGTTAACTTAAACGCGCGGCAGGATTCCATACGGACAGGCCTTCCGGCAGCTGTGCGCACCTCCGCCATGATGAGCGCATAGCCTTGAAGTGTGACGCGTCCAGTTAACATCAACCTTCGGGGCTAAATATGCTTCACTTAGTAAATTATGTTTCATCTTTCAAGCCTCTGCATAGTCATGTAGTACTATAAGAGAGCAATTTTAAATGAGTGTCTCTTTTAATGCAGCAAAATGCAGACAGGCTGACATCCTGTCCAGACTGTTCCCTGCCTGTTTCGGCTCACTGCAAGCCTGTACTGGACAGGTGGTTATGGATGGATGGATGGATGGATGGATGGAAGAATGTATGGAAGTGAACTGTATATGACCACAGGAGTGCAAAAATGTGCTTTGACCAGTGTGTCATACTGCATTTCAGGTTCAAAGTCTGCCCAGCTTCCCACATGAACACATGCGCAATTCCCAGTTAGTCCCATATTCCCCGGATATCCCCGCCATTTTTCATTGTCTGAACATTCCTCACTCCGACCACACAGACATGACACCACCTGCCCTGACCACAGCCACTACACACACTCCTCAACATTTTTCATCCACATTTCATTCCTCTTCAGCTGCTCACAAACTGTATCTCAGCCCATACACCCTGTACCAGTTTGCCATAATAAACATAATTGATACAGATAACACATTATAGGGGGAGTGGGCAATCATCCTCAGTAAATCTTGATTGGTAAACAGGTCACTAATGAGTGTGGGGGTTCATTGTATGCTGTCATAAACTAGACAAGGGGTGAATAATGTGGGTCTTCTCTGTCACTATGGAGATTGGGTGCTGATGTGGTTTGACCCCCCCATGGGGTCAGGTAATTGCTTATTGTAGCTAGAATGAAAGAGGTTGATGCCGTGTGTCACATCATATTGATTTTTCCCCTCAGCCCCATGATCTTGAAAGAAGAGGAGCATTTAAGTAATGATGATGAAGTATTCAGTGGTTCTGGTGGTCTATGTTGCGCTATGAAGCAAAGGGTGTGAAACAGGATGAAGTACAGCTTGATGTGGCTGCATTTATGTTCAGCAAAAGTTCAGATGGAGGTCTGATGTCCAGCAGCCAGGACCCAGTGCTTTTACACTTTATGGCCCCTGTAAGGTCATTAATTTGGGCCAAAAGGTCAAACCCATAGGGTGACAGCAAAAGCTGCAGGTGGTCCAGAGGTTTTTAATTCTTTACATGCTCGTGTTTCCACAACCAGAAAAAAAACAAGCTTAAACTAAGAAGCCATATTGTCACGTGAGTCTTACTTGGAATTTCAATCTGATTATGAGACAGAGGAGATGTTTGATTCTTGATGAACATGAGCTCCATCGGAAAGGCCTACTCCCCGCAAAGCCACACAGATGAAAGGTTTTTACAGGAGCTGTCCATTCACCTGAGTCAGAAGATGATTCTGCTATCCACTCTTGTGAGTGTGTGTTTTTCAGCTCAGTGCTAATTCAGTTTTCCAAAAGAGCAAACTGATGATCTACAGTCGATCATCACAACAACGCTCCACCACTGAATAGCTCCACCCGACCTCTAGGAGGGTAACTTCAGCCTCATGGTATTTTAAACACCACGGACATCTTCAGAAAGAGAGGATGTGATCTATTGATTTCTTAAAGAGTAACGAGCGAGAGCTGAGTGTTGAAGAGAGGGCATGGTGGTAAGGATGAGGAGGAAACGAAATACATTTCCTGATAGGATTTCAATTACGCAGCGATATACACTGCCCTGGAACTGCGAGGCTGCGCAAGGCGGAGTTCTAGCATAATAACCTCTACATTGAAATAGATTTTTGTCTATTTTTAATAAACCAGATTCACCTTCCTATGTTACACAAGGAGGGCTTTCTTCCTTTTTCTTCAAAACAGACAAATTTATAACGAGAACATCATTTATGTATAGAGTTATATATAGGGATCAATTTTTCGTTTGATAAAAATGTGTTGTTATTATTAAGTTAATCACCTTTTTTCTGCCTTGTT